CTTCCTTCTCCCCAACCCCTTCGTGGTGCTGCTTTACTGCAGTTCTGCCTTGTTTGAAAGATCTTTTGCTTTTTTATTTTTTTGGCTGCAGGATTTATTGTCCTCATTAGCTGGAAACCCAACGTCTGTTCCTACGTTGCTGCTCCACGTTAAAAACACAGCTATCCATCACTTCAAGAGATCTCGCCCAGAGGTCAGGGAACTTGAACCTATGACAAAAGCCATCCAGACAGATTGCAGTCGCATTTCAGAAAGAGATTTGTTGTTGCGAAGAAAGAAAAGTTAGTGTTTAATCATTTTTCTTTCAGAGCTTTACACCAGAGCACTGCAGAATGAGCAGAGCAGCGAGCTTCCCACCCCCCCAGCCCACCCCACTTCTCCCTAGTTCTCTTTTGGGCTCTCCTACAGAGTTTCAGACTGAGTTTGTGCTGTTCATGTGCTAACCCAGGCTTTACGAAATGTTTTTTATGATGCAGAAAAACTTTGTCATAAAATCTGTCACAAACGTGGTCATAAAACCAAAACCCTATGCTCTCCTCCCTGTCCTTAGCTGGAATTTCCTTCTGTTGGAAACTTTCCATCTAGCCCTTGTATAGGAAACCAAAGCCCCCTCCAAACTTCATACTCAGGAGCATTGAATATCTCTGGACTTGCAGGTTTTTTCCTCTTGCTTTTCTAGTAAATCAGGAAACAGCATCAAAGACAAAAATAACACAAGATCTGGTCACCTCGCAGTATTTTCACTGGGTAGTCACTGCAGTACTGGGAGAAGACCAGACATCCTCAGCTGCCGTTGAGAAGTCCATGGAAGCACAAACGCTAATGTGAGTCTCTGTGTGCTCAGTTTTACTCGCACATAACTGATGGGAGTGTGGCTTAATTCAGAGTCTGGTCAGCTCAGGAGCTGCGTGGCTCTGGGTGATGCTGGCTGGGTGCATCTACCAGACCAGGTGAACGGTAAGCCCCTGTCGCATCGCCTGAGTGCTCTTGGAGAGAAATTTGGGAAACATGAGAAAATTCTTGGTCATTTCTATCCGCCCTTGCCAGCATCTCAGCAGTTTTATACAGGTATAAATCCTGATTTACACCCACTGCAGAGATGAAAACCATTCCCAGTAGTCCAGCCATGAAACTCAACCTCTGTTTTCTTTGCTTAGCAAAGAAATTTGCAGGTGAAATAATAATAAATACTGAGCGGAGAACATTAACTGGTATCCAGAGAGTTTGAACAAACACAGAGTTACTTCACCGGAGGAAATCAGAGCAGATCTTGCCAGCCCCACCAGGGTTTGCAAACCCACTACTCCTCTGTCCGAGCAGTTCTTGCATTTCAAACAACGTCGCATCAAAGGAAACCAGGCTGGTAAGTTCTTGGGAGCCGCTCAAGAAGCACATGTGCTTTTAGGGAGGCAGATATTTTCTTTCTTATTGATTTCCCCTTCAAACCAACTCGTGCAACAACAGAGAAAGGCACTTTAGTGGAAATGTATTGGCTGCGGTCGGGTAAATGTATACTCAAAGGCTCTGTGTAGCTCGTGATTCCCTGACTGCGGGGTCTCTCCACGAGATCCATTATAAGGCCAGGCTAGGGAGGCACTGGAGAGTGGTTTCTGATCTTTATGCTCCCCAAGAAACCCCTGCATCTCTGAACTCAATGTACCGTGCTAAAAAGTTACTGCTCGGAGACTGGAGACTGCCTCGAACAATAGCTGCCAAGGAGCTCCGTCAGGAAGCACTCCCGACTCCAGCTTCTACTCGTGTTGATTTTACTGACTCGTGGTTGTGATGTCAGGGCTGGTCACTCCAGAAGAAATGTGCGGCCTGTCCTCTATACCTCCGACACTGCTTGGGAGCCCCACGTCTCCCCAGTCAGACACCCGAGCCACCAGCCTTCTCCTGAGAAAATGCAGTGGTGGGATGAAAACACGGAGTTGTGCAGTGTGTGGGAAACCACAGTCGCGCCGACGGTATCAAATCGAAGCAAGCCATGTTCCGCACGGGTTGCTTACTCCCCACCTAACCACCACGTGTACCTGCTGCCCCATGGCTTCAGGTGGGAGGAGGAAGGGGAAGCTCCGCGAGCGGTACCTCTTTGGGATTTGCAGGGATACGCTTCCATCTCCACCTCGTGGAGGGGGAAAGGGGCTTTCGCTGGCATCACCGGGCGGAACATGTAGCTGTCGTTGGGCAAGGAGTGCATACGGGAAACGGAGATCTTGCGGACCGTCAGCAGGTTTTGAGAGTCCTGTGGCCTCAGAGAGGCTGCGCTGCCCTGCAAAGCGAGGAGACAGAGAAACGGGGTCATTCAGCATCGTGGTGGTGAATCTACAGCAATCTCCTTCTCGTCTGCATTTTGCTTTAAAACCTCGTGCAGATGTTCCTCTTGGCACACTACAGAGAGCCTGCGGCCCTGGTGACTGCAAGGGAATACCAAAACTACACCGTGCTAGCTGAGTAAAGAGCTTAAGCTGTGGCTGGAGTAAGATGAGGCATCAATGACCCACCACTAAGCCGACTCTTGGACACCACAGAGAAGGAGTAAGGTCCAGGAAAATGGGGCCCACCCTCTAAAGACACGAGAAAGCCAGCACTTCTCACACTGTTCTGCTCCGATTTTGCCGGGGATGCTTTCAGCCCAGCCTGGGGGGCGATGCCCTTCTCCTCAAAGCTCCTCTGTGACAGATGGGCAAAATTGGCCAGTCCTTGGCCACGCTCACCCAGGGTACCAAGTGGCTCTGGAAATTCGTGTGTTATCGCCCCAAAACACACATACAGGCAGACATTTAAACATAGACATCAACACCACTGCAAAACCTGCAGCCTCTCTCCTACAACACGGAGCATTTTGGACACCACCGAGCCCAGAAGAAGACAGCCACATGGCAGGAGGAAGGAGAAGACATCACGGCCTTATAGCAAATTTAACCTGGGGTCTTGGGAAGCTTTAGGGACTCAAACAATGTGGTGCTGATGGAGCAGCTGTGAGAGATGGTGCCATGACTTGGCCAAGTGCTGGGAGAGCAGGGACCATTGGAACAGGACCTGCAACCCAGCTCCTGGCCCTGCGTTTTTTTCGTCCTAGACACGTTCCCTGTACAATTCACCACGTTATCTAAAGCACGACTAATTGCTCTGGTTTTCCTTTAACATCAGCCTCCCAGTGACTGATTGAAAACGTTTTCCCAGCTGCAAGTCTTAAATTAAATGCATTTTGCTTTGCTCTGTCGGGCTGTTTTCCCTCTCTGCTAGCAAAATCTGGGCCTGAGATCCCTCACTGGATAGTCTGGAGGTCACCAAGGATCTGGTTAAATCTGTTTTTTCCATACATTTCTGGCTTACAAATTTATTTCCTCAGATCCTTAAAGAGACACATCCCAAGACAAATTACTCGATGCTTTTACCCTGTTGAGCTTGGCTGAGAAGATGGGGGGGATCAGCAGCAGGTATTTACAGGTAGTTGGCATCCAGCGCTGACTGCTGCCTTGCCCAGCAGCCCTCCGGGTGCAACCCAGGCCTCTCGTCTGATGTATTAATGCATCAGCAGCCCGGCTGTGCCAGTTGGCCTCTGGCCATTACAGCTAATAAGCTATCAGCATCGCCATACCTCAGCTGAAGGCAGGCGGGCGATTGTTAACACCCCGGTGCCACACAGAGAACAAAAGGTCTCGTGCCACTGTCTCAGTAGCCGAACAGAAGGATCACAGTATCTGTCTATTAAATCTCAGTTTGTCTTTACAGAATCTTGCGTTCATCTTCTGTGGCTGGGACAAAAGAACAGAAATCCCCACTGGACATAAACAATTTCAATTTTTAAGGTTTCAGCTATTGAGACCCAGTTGACTTAGGGACGTGGGCACATTTCAAATGACTTCAAAGCCACTGTAGTCAGTACCTGAAATATGAAACATGGGCAGGAAGATTGCTGGCTCACACCTGGTGAGCTGCTCTCGACAGCTAGGAAGGCTTGGAGACACAGCACCGTGGGCACTGCTGCTCCTGAAACCCCTGATGCCCTCGGGAGCCTGATCCCACGCCCTGGAAATCAGTGTGGCTCCTTCAAAACCCATGAAAGCCCAGCCTGAACCAGTGATGCTGAGACTGTGGTGAACCCTGCCTGCAGGTACCCTGAGAGCTTGGGAGGATCCCAGGCATCTGACAGAGACGGGCGAGGTGGGAGCCTGCTCTCCGTGGGACCCCTCTCAGGGAAGTAGAAAGGCATTCAATTGACCATAGAGGCTCATGGTGATGCAGAAGGTGGGAGCCTGCTCTCCGTGGGATCCCTCTCAGGGAAGTAGAAAGGCATTAAATTGACCATAGAGGCTCATGGTGATGCAGCTCAGAGGCTCAGTTAAGCATCTTTAATCAGTGGGCACAACTCCTTCCTCTTGTGTCTGGGAATCAATGGTCTTTCGGAGTTCTGATCTTGCTCTGCTGCAGAGGGAGCTCGAGAAGAAATAATCCTGTAGATGCCTCCGCAGGACATGACCCTTCCTGGGTGATTAAACGGCCAGAAGATACTCTGTAAGCAAAGGTGACTGGCGGGATACTCTGGAAGAGCGAACACTGTAACTTCTCAGAGGCCTGGAACCAAGAGCCTGCAAACAAGCTGCGGGCAAAATTCCCAGAGGAAGAGCTCCTCCTGATCCCTCTCCGAAGGTGTGCGTCTGCAGCGGTGCGAGTGAGCTTAGCCATTTCCCGCAGCCTCTGCGGTGGGGAAGGCAGCAGCACGACGAGGGCAGGAGGTAACTCCCTGCCTGTGCCTGCCAACGGTGCCATCCCTGCACAGGCCAGCTCCGGTGGCAGCCGGGGTTGTGCTGCCATTCCCCACGGAGGTAACAAACTCTCAGCTCTTCCAGCAGCAGCCCAGGATCCCCTGCAGTCGCCCTGAAAGATTCCTTCCCCGTGATCTCCCTTTGAGCCTTTGCAGCTTCCAGGTGGCCAAGCCAATGGACACCGTGCAGAGCTATGAGGGGGGACTTCTGTGAGGATTACACCTTCATGTCACTCATGTCACACCTTCATCATCACTTCATGTCACAGGGGAAACTGGTGCTTGGTCATCTTGGTCATCAAGAGCTTAATCCGAGCCCAGAATTTGCTTGGAGATGCCCTGAGATACTCGCCACTGGAAGGTGCCTTGACAGTCAGGCTAGAGGTCAGCTAATAAAGGGGAAAATGGTCTAAGTCTAAAGCAGATTAATTCTTGGCGGCCACTGAAGTTCTCTGATGACAGCAAGCGTGCTCCCCACTGCAGCATCAGCATCGTCACCACCGACCGTGGCTCGCCTGGTCTCGTGCCCACCAGAGGACATCTGGAGCGCGTTCGCCCTGGGGAGGGCACTGAGCTGCAGCAGGGCAAACCGCGCAGCATCCTGATGGGATGGGACCTGGTCACCGGTTCGTGGTGCAGTCGGGAGCGACTGAGCAGAGCGGGTTGCAGCCCCTCTGTCTGCTGGGTGATCTCCCCAGAGCATCTCCCAGAGCCTCAGCTCCAGCGCTTGCCGAAAGCCTCATGTCTTGATCTACTCATGCCTTTGTTTCCTCAGGACTGTATCAGAAACAGGTTCTTACAGTAAGAAGACTAAACTGGGCTGCGTTTTCTCCACAAAGGACTCTGCCTGCCTCCAGCTCTCGAAACATCATTTGAAGACAGACTGCTCACAGATCACACCGCACATCAAACGCAAGACTTCTTTTAGCTAAAAAGAGTATTTCATTTGTGCCCCGCGCCAGGCTGCTGGCTGGGACACGTTCTCTGCCCAGCCCCTGCACACGCAAAGGCAGTACGAAGGACAGGGGATGGAAGCGACTGTTGCGGTTGTGAAGCAACAGGTTTAGGACAATTCAGACACCACCACCAGCTGCACAGCACCAAAGCACAATGCCACAAAGCAGAAGCAACGGCGCGGCGTCATTCACCTCTGCCTCGTGGCCTGGGGTTTTGTGGGAAGGTGTCAGGACATGGTGGGAAACTGAGCAGAAGGACGGGATTTCCATCATGGGAGCCTCTGCCCCCTCCAGCATGTCCGAGTCTGGGATGACTACAGACACATCCTCACAGCTCAGCGCCTCCTTCAAATTGGGGAGATAAAAAGCATCAGTAGCAGAGCAAGGCTGGGTCTTAACGCTCGAACACATTTGCCCCGTCGCATTTCCTAGTTGCCCCATTCATCCAAGAGCAGGAAAGAAGAGAAAAGGAGATTTGGGCTGCAAAAACTGGCACAGATGGCAAAAGGATACAGAGCCTCTTGCAACACCTTCCAGGGTGTCCGTGCCCCCATCGCTGGCAGGATTAGTTGCAGAGAGCTCTACGTGTTTAACCTCTTCAGCACAGCTAGCAGCGAGCGCGGCATCGAGCTGCCAGCCGTCCACCCCTGCCCAGAACAGCATCAGTGTCTGAGATGTGAGCAAGGGCATCACCGCAACCCAGCCCCGCTGCCGGGCAGGGGACGGGGAGCCCTGCCTTGCGAAGCCTCACCTGTGCGCCAGCAACCGTATCCACAGGGGGAAACCTGCGGCCAGCTGCCCTCTCACGCTGTTCCCCCTCTGGGGAGCATCGCCTCCCACTGCGGGTGTTCTCGGGCTAAGAGGAGGCTCTGCACGGCTCCTGATGTGCTCAGGAGGTACTGGAAGATGAGGAAAACTCAAGGAGAATGAGCTCAAGTCTGCAGCCACAGCCGATGTGAAAGGAGGTGCCCTCTCTTCCCCCAGTGAGAAAAGCAACTCGGTTGTTAATGGCGCGTTTTCCTGAAGAAATGTCTATTAGAAACTACATTCAAATAGCGAATTCCCCATCGCTGTGTAACTAAATTTCTTTTTACTTGACTTAATAGAGTCTGATAGATTTTACAAAAATCTAATTTGATGTAATTTAATCTCAAATCCCCCATTGATTTTGCAGTAGATTTATTTGCGATCACGGTGACAAAGCAATTTTGGATTCGCTCTTCATCATACGCTGCTGACATGGGATGAGGCAATTATCTCACGCCCCTCCTTCCCCCTCCGACTTCCAATTGCCCTATTTTTCTAGAGGACTAGCAGAAATCAGAGAGCAGGCAGTGTCTGGAAAATCAGCCCAGGAACCTCCAGCTTCTTGCTGAGGGGCTCTGACAAATCCCAGGGTCCCAGTCAGCCATGCCCCAAGCAGGGCACCAGCCAGTGGGACGCTGCATCTCACACCAGCGCCAGACATCCCCTTCTGAGCTGCGCACTTAAGGCTCCTCTGGAAATCCCAAACTGGGATTAAAAAGAACCGGAGCAGTATTTCTACGACTGTGTGAAGGGAATTTGTGCCATCCTCTGCTGCACGTGTCAGGGTTCACAGTGCCAGCATTCCCAGGGCTTTATGAGACTGCTCCCTTGTGCTGCTGCCCATGCTGAAGTGACAACGACCCCTGTATTGGCTGGGAGGACAGACAGGGACCTGTGGCTATTATGCTTCTGCACTTCATATTCGCAACCTTTGAATGAACTGCAAATGGCAAGAGATGGACTCTCAGCGCTCCCCCAGAACAACGGCCAGGACAGCGTTAGTCCTGGAGAACGCATTTCAAGCAGACTTCCACCTCAGGGAGCCCTCCTGAGATGACTCAAGATGTGGAGGTGGTGGTGACATCTCTGCCGTAGGGGAACCCAGGAAAGCTGCCTTCCTCCCACGCTGCCTTGTCTCCTGTCTCCTTGGCTCTGTGTCACTCGGGATGTGGCTGTCTGACGATCAGACAGCGGTGACTGATGAGAACCGTCCCCTCCCTACCCTGAGCACAAGAAGAGCAGATGCTTTGTGTGAACTATTACCAGGGTTTGGTGCTTCACCTGCACCGCTGACTCGGACTTCACGGTCTCCTGACTCCTGTAGGGTGCTCTGCTCTCTGGGGCCACTGCACCTCCCCTGCTCCCACTGGTGGCTGAGGTGGTTGCTCCTCTGGACATCTCCAACTCAATCTCAGCATCCATCTCAGCATCCTCCTTGGCCTCCTTGTTGCTCTCCTCCAAGTGCTTCATCAGCACTGCCACCACTACGTTGACCAGGACGAACTGCGCGATGAGGACGAAGGTGACGAAGTAGACAGGAGAGATGACAGGCAGGTAGCTGAGGCAGTGCTTGTCTTCCCGAGTGCATTCCCGGAGGGTGTCCTACAACAGAGAGGGAGAGGTGAGAGATTAATAAGGGCTGGGGCTGTGCTTGGGCTCCACATACAGAAACATGAAAGATAACCTGCTGAGGACTGAAAAGCATGCGATTACATATCCCAGACACAAGAGCTTGTAGGTATAACAAAATCGGTAGAAGAAAATACGGACACCATGAATTAGAGCAGCTATGAAGAGGAGGATTCTGTTATGTCCCAAAGGCACAGGGCACAGAGTACATGGTTACTCCTCTCACCCACAAGCACTGGCATAATTTTCCTGAAGTTTTATATATATATGTTAAAAAGAATGAAATTTCAGGTTGGGTGAGACTTAGGACAAATCATCCCTTGAAAATACACTTGTCTTTTAAATGGGAAAGTTTAATTTTGATGTTTTAAAAGGAAATCTTTTTTGTGTTCACAGAAGAGACGCCTAAACTTGTTTGAAATCTGTATCAATATACAGATACAGAGAGAAGAAAGTACCCAAACAGAGACTGCACACACCTTCATGATACCATTCCAGTTGTCCCCTGTTGACACCCTGAAGAGGGTGAGAAAGGCCATGCCGAAGTTGGTGAAAGTTGCGTGCCGGCTCAGACCTTCACAAGGATTTTCTTCACTGCAGTCTGCAGGAGAGAGAAGCACATCAGTGAAGCCACGTTTGCCAGTGCTTCATCGAAGCAGACCCCCAAACCTGGCGGTGAGACCCTGAGGTAAGTCACGCTGATACCCGGCATCAGGGAGGACTGCTAAGCCGTGACCTCGCGGTGGCCTGCAGCTACTGAAGGGCAGCTGTAGAGATCATGTAGCCAAACTCCTCGCCATGGTGGCCACAACGGACAGCAACCCACTGTGGCTTAGGAGGTCCAGGTTGGACATTAGGAAAGTTGTTTTCATCTGGAGGACCCAACAGCTCTGGGACAGGTCACCAGAGAGGTTTTTGTTGGAAGTTTTCAAGATTTGGCTAGAGAAAGCTACAGCTACTCTACGCTAGCGACGGGGCTTCAAGTGGGAGGCTGGGTGGGGGCCTCCAGAGGCCTCTTCCACCAACATTTCTGTGATTCTCTTGACTTCACCCCAACAGGCAATGCCAACACAAAGAGATCTAAAAGCAGGTGGAAACAAGCAGACTTGCTGGGCTGTCTCAACAAATACTGCTCTACAGCATCCTTTGTCTCCTACCCCCTTGATTACATCCTTGTCTTGATTATTTTCACAAGGCCCATCTACCATGAGGGATATTTCACTGAGATAAAGTGGAGCAATTGGACATTCTTCCCCTGAGAATTCATATACTAATGAATGTAAACGGAACATATGAAATGCTCCTCTTTCCATAAAACACAGGCTCATTAATTATTCATGAGGACAGGCAACAGTGTCTCATGCTAGGGCATTTCATAATTTCATTTCATACCATTAGGTATTATTTCAGAGGCAAACAGGAAGGAAAAACAAAAAAAGCAAAACCCCCCCCCAAACCCACAAATGACCAGTCTTGGGGGAGCGAGCACTGATGGTTCTTGTGGCTGACGTGGACCAGCAGCGATCAGGAAAAAGAAGTGAAAGTATTTCCCAGTTAAATCAGGGTGGGAAGCGGTGTGCTGACGGTCTGCCGTTCGCGCCAGACAAGATCAGGGCTTTCCCAGTCTCTGAGCACAAGCTGGGGTTACCGGGGGCTGGCACTGGCAAGGTGGGCACGGAAACACAAAAAGGATTCAGAGCAGCAGAAGGTGCCTCTGGGAGGAAGACATTTTTCAACTTTGTGGCTGAACAAACACATACTTGTATCTAGATATGTAATATAACCCCCACAGTATTTCATATGGGGTGGATGCAGAACTAATTTTTTTCCAGAATTTGTTGGAAACTGAAAAATAATTTGTCTTTGGTTGAAAGAAATATTCTGCTTTCAGGCGTTTGTAATCTGAGCCGAGGGCTGGACTCGTAAAGGGGATTAATGACAGCCATAAAATCACAGCAGAGGAAGGGCCCTTCTGATGCTCTTGAAGCCCGAACTGGGCTGCAAACATTAAGAAGGCAGACACGTCTCCTTCCAACAGCGTGTTCAAAGGCAGTGACTGCCTTGGCCTGGCTAAGCTGGGCAAGGTAAGGCTAACGTCTTTTCTCTCTGACTCCACCTGATTTTCTGTTTAGTGGTGGACACGTTCATGACCAGGTCCGCAGTGTCCTCAAGCCAGAGGAATAAATGAAGCCGGACAGTCAGAAACCAGTGGATGCTTCCTGATTTATGCAGAAAGGGGAAGGTGATGCTGAGAAGAGCAATGGACAGACAAGACCTGGGCAGCTGAAGTGCAGTGTCAGCCAAGTGCAGATAACTAATGGAGCGTGGTGGAAGCTCCGAGGAGGGACATGTTTACGGTGGCATCTCTCCAGCATGAATCTGACTACCATCCAGCTTTACAGACTCATGTTCTGTCTTACGTATCAAACCTCCTTCTTTGTGAACATATCCATGCTGGACAATTATATTTAAACAGTAAATATTCCTCTACAGCCAAGGGTGGTGTTGGACAAATCTCTAAATGTGTGTGTGTGCACATTAGACAGGTTCTGTATTACATCCTCATGTTTCATCTGCGACCCTGAGATCAAGAGAAAACTTTAATCTTCAGACCGTAACTGTGAAGCTAAGGAAGGCCCAAGAAGGAGAGAGAGAAGAAAGGAAACAGCTAGATACCAAATAAACATCAACCGGATGAAATAAATTGTGTGAGGCACATTACTCACCTAGCTTGCCAAACAATTCCACTCCCAGGGCAGCATAGATAAAAAACAGGAGCATAAAAAGTAGGCCAAGGTTCCCTACCTACACAAGGAGAAAGCAGAACAAGGGTCAGGCAAGTTGAGCTCACATATTAAATTGCTCCATCACATTTTAAACACAAGCGAAAGAGAAACCGGTGGCCAGAGGCTAACCATCATCTCCCCTGGCTTCCAACATTCTGGTCCCCTTTCACGGTTCTGCTTTAAGAGATCCAGAGTAATCTCCCGTGGGGGCGGAAGGAGCAGATGTTCCCAAGTGCAAAGCAGTCTCTGTGGCTGGTGCCCAGATGCTCTCCATCGCTCTTCCACTCACCCGGGATGCTGCCTGCATCTGCAATTTGGCCAACCCATTGCTGTAGCCTCAGCGACACTTGGCGCCGCACTTCAGTGCGTTGGTAGTTGAAGGGACCTGGCGCTCTGGTTTGAGTTTGAAGGGCCTTTCCCTTCTGTTTGCCAGGTTTGAGACGGAGCACGAAGGCTGAGGGTTTCAAGACAGTAACGTTAACAAGGCACGTCTCAAGCCACAAGAGGAACTGCCTGGCCTTCAAACGTTTTGCTGGCCTGGAGGGCTTTCAGAAAAGGGACATGTGCTCCAGTGGGATGTGAAGCTCTCCTAGCCTTGCCACTTTACAGGTATTTCTCAACAACAACTACCTGAATTTAGCTTTTAGTGTCTCAAAGGAAAAACCTTATTCCACATGCTAACAGTTAAATGCAGGCACCTTGCAGTTCAGACACTGCGTGGTGTGCTACCATTAGGTATGAACATGCACTGCAAGGTGGCTGAAGGGGATGGCAACAGAAGTGGAGTGATGCTGAAGGGAACACAAAGGTTCTTAATAACCATGGCATTACAGTTACTGCAACAGATTCAATCACTACATGGTGTCGAAGCCTTTAAAACATTTCAAAGAGCACGTTTTTTTGTAATTCAGGCAGAGAAGATGAAGGGCAGAGCAACCTGACCAGCTAACCACCTGCGTTTTACCTGCGACTAGCCCTGGCCACATTTACCATCTCTCCTATGAGGAAAGGCTGAGGGAGCTAGGCTTGTTCAGCCTGGAGAAGAGAAGGCTGAGAGGGGACCTTAGAAATGCCTCTAAATATCTGCAGGGTGGGGGTCAGGAGGATGGGGCCAGACTCTTTCCAGTGGTGCCCAGCGACAGGACAAGGGGCAACGAGCACAAACTGAAGCAGAGGAAGCTCCAGCTGAACCCAAGGAAGAACTTCTTCCCTCTGAGGGTGACGGAGCCCTGGCCCAGGCTGCCCAGGGAGGCTGTGGAGTCTCCTTCTCTGGAGATATTCCAGCCCCGCCTGGACGCGGTGCTGTGCAGCCTGCTCTGGGTGACCCTGCTTGGGCAGGGGGCTGGGCTGGGTGACCCACAGAGGTCCCTGCCAACCCCTGCCATGCTGGGATTCTGGGATTCTGTGAAATGCCATGTGTCTATCGGCTTGTAACAGAGATAGAGCGATCGAGTTCTCCAGTTGGACATGGTGTCACAAGGATCATTTATCTCTAAATAAAAATGAACTAGGTGGTGACCCAGGTAGTCAGGCCGAGGGATTCATGAGCTCCAAGGTATGTTCTAGCGAACTCTTCAGTTTGACAGAGCTTTCTTCTCTGAGGCGGCACAGCCACGGTGTTGCTGGGTATTTTGACCATGCTGCTTAGAAAGGTTATCAGTATGATACCTGTTCTCATAAAATCAACACAGCTATCATGTATTTTGACCATGTTGCTTAATTTCATTACCAAGGTTATCAGTATGATACCTGTTACCATAAAATCAACACAGCTATCACTTATGAAGTAGGTTTTTTTTGTGTTAAAGAAATGGGACTAGTCAAATCACCCAGTGGAGACTGTAATTGCTATAAAGCCTCAACTGGCTACTACACATAGAGCTTTGCAATTCCACTAATGCTATTACCATACTGCAGGGAATAACAGAGATCATACAGAGATGTGGATGGCTGGTCTGGAGTATTTCGTCTGCATGTACTGTCTTCTGGAATAGTGCTTCCTAACTCATGTCTGCTGGACCACTCATGGCTTGTAAGACATTAGCAGGCAGTCACCAAACTAACTGCAAATTAGAAAATACAGGAAAGCAGGCACACACGCAAATATACACACACACTGCTGGGGAGGCAAATGAGCAAATAATTAAAGAGCAGGAAAATAAAAGTGACCCACAAGTTTTCTAGGTTGAGTGTAAATTAAAGCCTGATGCTGCACTGCAGAAGAGGGTCTTGGAATTTTTTCAAAGCAGCCTATAAGCTAAATATTTTACTGCTATTTTAATGCCTAATAAATCAGTCTGTAAACTGCTGGCATTGATGAAATTCCAAAGAATTCAGACTAACATCAAAGTTATTACCAGGTTATCAATCAAAACTGTTATCTATCTCTCGACATGCAAAGCATGTCATGCGCTGACATTGGCTCATAAACAATTTTCCTACTATCTAATGTGCATTTGTAAAAGATTCTGTATTTAAGATCGTGACTAATTACATTACTGAACCAACGTGACTCATAGCTAGTCCTTCAAAGACAAATCTGCGCTCCTGGGTTTGCTTTACAGGCTCAAGGCATCGCAGCCATAGTCTACAAGTGCCAACAGAAGCAGATTTGCTAACGTGGTGTCTGCTGGTGTCGAAGGCTGCGTTTACCCTTGGCTGAGAGCAGACACCCGGGCACTTCCAAAGCTCAGCCGATGCACAGGGTCTCTCGGGAAGTGCCTGAATGTCTGACTGACGTGGAAACGTGGCTACACGAAAGAGAGATGTGGGAGACAGCAGCAAGTCAAAGACCCTGGGATGGGCGACGGCATGACTTTTCCTGTTAAACTCCACCCCACCCTGTATCTAGACACCCAGCGCTGCTCTGGAGTGCCAGCCAAGAAGCAGGTTGTTCCCCATGTGCACAAGAACAGCCTGCTGCCCTGACCACCCCCTGCAGACGTAGCACCCACGTGTATGTGTGCAGGCAGTCGGTGGCTCGCGAGCTTGGAGAGGGCATGAGTTTCTCAGCAGCCCACAAATACCTGATGCTCAGAAGAATGTGGCTGAGCGAAATGGCTCACCTCTTGCTTAGGTGCTTGAGCAAAACCACTTGCGTAGCTTCTGGCTGTACTGAATCAGTACAAGCCAGTGCCAGATTTAATATTCTGTCAGTGCTAGCCCACAGCTCTCTGGTACGTACCAATGTCCCTCAAGAAAGGAAGGTCCTCTTCAGCCCACAGCCTTCACCAAGGCCCGAGCACAGAGAAGGACCCAAGGTATGTTCGCAGAGATGGGCTGAGGTGGAGGCAGCGAGGTCAGCCAGCGGCTGCTGAGTAGCAGAGAAAGCAGACTGGATGTGTGTCTGTGACCTTGAGTGAGTCATTCCTCTCCTGTAACTCAACGTACCCATTTGTAATACCCTTGCGGATAGGTAATTAATGTCTCTAAAGCACTTTGAGACCTACTGAGACCAGACAAGAAAAACGTCGTGCATGAATCATGTTGCTGGGAGGAATGGGAGGGGGCAGGAGCACATCCAGGCACTTTTCTCCAGCAGCCAAAGGCTGCGATGTGTGTGCTGGACTTTGCATCAGGGACAGAGATCCAGCTCTGGTCAGCAACCTCAGCTTTGGCAGCCGGTCACCCAGACAGGCTCTGAGAAGCGGTTCTGCTCCAGCAGCACCGAACAGGTCAGCCCATGCTCTGTTTATCCATCTGACTCCCCCTAACTTGGGCTGGTGCCTTTGCCTGGGCAGAGAAAACTACAGATAACCCCTCTCTCTGGCAGCCAGGAGCTATCCATCATTTGCTGTGGCTCCAGTGCCGAGGGGAGGCTCTGGCCTGTAGGGAGTGAAGCAGAGATGAAGAATGTCTTGGAGATGTTCTTGGTGCCCTAAAGTACCTCAGAGAAGCCACAGGAGAAGATGGAGACCCTGGTGAGTATGTGTGATTCCTCCTGGACCTTCACTTTCTGGCATCCTGGCTGTCATACACTGCTGGCAGAAGTTTCTGTGTGCCTGGGACAGAGGGATGTTGTGGGGGGAGGCAGAGTCCTCCATCCCACCCGAAGGAGCTGGGAGGCCCTGTGTGCAGAGCTACCACCCTTCACCATGGCGCATCCCAGCTGGATCTGTGATCTACTGTCGCAAAAGCCCTGGAATGACCCTGCTCAGTGGCAAGGAAAGCGACGCTCCTCTCCACGCACCCAGCAAAACCCTTCTCCCACTGCCGCTGCGTGGTCTGGGGAGGCTGCCTCTGCTTTAGCTCTTGTGGACATCACTGCTCTTAGCTTTCTGCCTCCCCCTAAGTGAGACTGCAGTAGCTAAGCACCACTGCACGTCCCCTCAGTGTTCAACCTCTGACTGACTCCACCAAGTAAAAAGCCCACAGATGCAGACAGACAGAGTACCTACGCCAGGCTGTGTCAGCTCGATAGGCAGATGTGTTGCACTGATCATGGACAGCAGGACACCGGCCTCCTGGGCACTATCACTTCTCTGCTGCGCTGTCAGCTGTGTGATCCTACCCAAATCCCTCTAGGTCCTGCTGGCCTCTACTCTCCCTGCTCCGGAGAGGCACGGATGAAGTACGTGTCTCCTGCAATGGCTGGCTGAAGCACACTCCAGCTCCTCCCGTGCCTCCTCCTGCTCTCACATCAGTTACTTCTGCATCACTGGCCCACACCTTAGCATTTCAGTTGTCCATGCAGGCAATGCACACAGCTCCCTGGGATGCCCGTCAAGAGCAATTTCTCATGAAACTAAGCCATTGCCAATCCTTTCCAAGGACATGAGTCCTCCTCATCTTCTTTCCAGCACTCTCCAGCCAAAGCAATAAGCCTGGCAGCAGGAAAACACAGGCTAATTTATGCACTGGACCCAAGAGAAAGTGGACACATGTGTCTGCTTGGAAAACGGAGGCCATCTGTGTGAATTCCAGGGCTGGTGGCGAGGGCCAGACAACCTTGGAGGCTAAAGTCATTGCACTGGTGCAACCACAAGGCCACTAGCTGAACTGAACGAACTCCCCTCTCTGTGCATCCACTCAGCCCCACGCAGACCAGAGCTAACGGCCAGCAGAATGGTGTTTCTTTACCTCGTGATTTCTGCTTCACTGCTCAAATCTCTCGGGCATCTCCGCGCTTGTTTACAGCTTGCGGCACAGCACACATGTACCTATCTTCCAGAATCTGTCCCACCTGCAATGCTTGCTGGTGAGACATTTCTACTTAGAGAACAATCTGAGCTTCCCAATCACTGTGGCTTTCCAGCATCTGGCAAAAGCAGGCTACTGTTTATGTCCCATAGCTGCTGCTACACAACGCCAGAAAACATCTTCAAGAGCTAAAGTTGAGATAAGCACAGGAATTACAGCACCAAGAAGAGTTAAACTCCTGGACAGGAGCAAACTACAGACTGTCCTTCAGGGCACCGATAGAACGAGGAGTTCTTCACTTTTTTCTTGGCACAGAGTCCACCTGGGGGAAGTTCCAAGCTTTGAAGACAAAGAGGAGGCATACTGTACAGTTCTGCAATTAATTAATGAGCCGTCCATAGACCAAATGAGAAAGAAGAAGGAAAAAGAACCCAGATCTTTTGATAGGAAAGTTCCACATTTTACTGTTGTTGGCCCCGCAAAGCCAACTGGACTGGATTCCACTTTGCCTTCTCCGTCAGGAAGAGCACTGGCAGCTTAGCTATTGACTGCAGGTTTCCTTACTGGCAATCAGTACCAAAAGTGCCGTGCAGACTGAGCTGGGCTGCTCAGCATGGTGGATTCACTTACACAACAAGCATTTTAACCCTGCCAAAGGCAAAGTTACAAATGCGAGAGCGAAGTGCAGGCCATGCTACAGAAAGGGTGAATTGCACTTTGGAGATCAGGAGATGTGCAAAGGACTAAAGGATTACCATCAGACAGGAGTCTTCCAGAGCAGACACTGCTCACAAAACCGATGCAGCCACCAGGTGTATAAGCAAGGGAATATTCAGCTGAAGCATAAGAGTGATATAATTCATGGTATAGCCAGAGCTCATAAAGAAGAGGAAAACACTTGAAACAGGTCTTTAAAACCTGGTTCATACTGAGCAATAAAGGAGTTCAATGTTCTAACATTTGCCAGACTGCAAAGGATTATTTTATCTCTTATTGCTCCAGAAAGGATAAGTTCTAGAAGAAAAAAAGCAAAATTACATCCAATGCAAACACAAACTTGGCTAATTCAGACCAAACCCACATGATTTCTTCAGCAGGCAGAACGTATTTCATCAACAGGGGCCGGC